AGAAAAGTTGTTGCTTTCGTCACGCTTATACATTTTTGTTTATTTTTTTGTTGTTTTTTGTTGTTCATCTTTTGGACTTGGCTTAAATCTTGAATCCGCATTTCCCCTACTCATTCTCTCTCTGAATTCAATTAAAAATTCACAATCAACCATAAATAAAGCCCAACTTGGCAGCCTTTTCTTTAAATAAATATTTACTGAATGCAAAAAAAATGTTTATATATATATATAAAAAAAGAAAAAATAACCAAGAATACTAAGCCAAAAGTAAACAAAACAAAGCCTCAATTTGCAGGCCTCGAATATGCTGCACAGTGGCTTTAAAACAGCCAAAAAATGGGCAAAAAATCTTTGCAAATGATTCATGCGTTCTTGAGCAAGTGAATGGCATTTGGGAACTTCCATTGGATTTTTGTTAATATTTTTTTAATGGTTTTTAACAGTCACAAAATAAACTAATATAATTTATTATTCACAAAGCACTTGGGTTAATTATTTTAACTTTAATGGTGGCCTTAGTTTGGCATTTCTCCCCATTTTTAAGCATTTAAACTCTCATATTCTTCAGAAAAAGTATTTTTTAGTAAACAAAAATTATAACAACAAATATGTAACAAATGGAAATTGATATTATATATATATAAATAAATAATAAAATATATAAATAAAATAAATATAATACCCTTAAGATAGTAGACTACTTCCCCCATGCTCTTCAGGAAATATCTTTACTCCTAACTGCAGTTTATTAAATGGAAAAACCCGAGTCAACAAAATTGATTAATACTATCTTTTACTTCAAATCGCCGCCATATCTTATCGGGCGAGTGCATTCAACTATTGGGTTAAGCAGTTAGTGTGACTTCAATGCCCCTTTGCTTACCTCCCAAGCACGGTGGGGCATTTATTTATGAAACGGAGGTAGTTAGCACTCAGTGTATGCATAAAAAACAAAACAGAAAAATAAAAAAAAAATACAGCGAAATGCGACTGGCGAGCGTGGGAAAAAGCATTGGCTAATATCTCGGGCCAAGTTTGACCAGTTTGTGGGGATGACGACGACTTCCCCTTGCTGCAACGCAGGCCAACAACGTATATTACTCATACGCCGCGTGGCACGCTCTCCAGACCGCTTTTGTACCCATCATATAGAAGTCTTTTTTTTTGTTTTTTTAGGGTCAAAACACTTGAGAATATCGATGGCGGATCTGTTATGATCTAAAGACTTTCATTCATAGAAACTTTCAAAAAAGAAAAACAACGAAAAAAACACAAAATCACTTCCCAAGTGACCATCAAGAACTGGCCGTTAAACTGGTTTTTTGGCTCTGACTCTTTTGGCATAATTTTTCGTATATTTTTTGTCGTATTTTTCATAGTTATTCGCATATTTTTGTTGTTGTTGTTGTACTTCTCCGCACCCTGGCAGAATACGATTTGTGCAGATACATTTCGCAGGCAATCTAACAGTTGGCTGCTAATGTGATTTGTGAATGTTTCGACGGCTCTGTGTGTTTCGCAAGCCGGAGTAAATAAATTACATTGGCAGTTTAACGACGACGTCGTCGTTGTAGTCGTTGTTGGAAATTGTCGCCGGCCGATCGGCGGCTTTTGTTTGAGTCTAAGATTTCCCCCCTCCCCCCAAGTTTTGCAGTCATAGCCCATATCCCCTCTCCCTTCCTGCCCCCTAAATTGTTGGCCATTTAACGAGCCAATAGATACAAAGCCATACCACACAATGGTCACACGGGCTAGCGCAAAAGATACAAAGATACGCGGGCACAATGCGAGGGAAATATGTTTGAATGTGTGTGATTTGAGGTCAGCACAATAGCTACCATTAAGCGGGAAGGGGAATATGTGATGGCTTAACAGGGCTAAAAGCCTAAAATTCCTTAGATTTTTAGCTTTTGTCGCCTTAATTTGAAAGTAATACGCTTAAGTAATATTATTTAAGTTTTAAGAGTGTTTTTTTAGAGAGTTTCTATTTAAGCTAATAATATTTTACTGTGCTAAAGTACTAGCTTCTTCATTAATTAAAGTATTTTATTTTTTATAATATTTTTTTCCAGTCTTACACTTGATTTTTATACCCTTTAAGGGTATTATGATTTTAGTCAGACGTTTGAAAAGCAATGAAGGAGTCATTTCCGACCCTATAAATCATATATATTCTTAATCAGCATTAACAGGCGAGTCTTTCTAGTTGTTTCAGAGGGAAAACAATTTTTTTTAAATAATTTTGAAAATTTTATAATCATTAAAATTGTCAAAATTTGGAAAAATATGAAATTTAAAATAAACTTAAATTTAGTATACAGATTTATAAATCTTATAAAAGCTAACACAAAACGGTTTTCCGAATTGAATTTAATGCATTTTTGGCTTAGTTATGGATTTTTTAAATTTTGATTTTTTTCAAGAAGTATAAAACCAAACAAAATAATAATAAAAAAAAAAATTTAACAAAAACAAATTATATTAAAAAAATTTACAGAAAATATTTTATATATGTCCCACCTTATATATATAAAATTAGACAATTGTAATATATTTTCTTGCATTTCAACTACTCTCTTGACCCCAACTGTGCGGATACACACAACCTGCTGCCGATGAGCTTCAATGGTTTGCGATCGCTTGATTGACAGTTATCTAACCGTTTCGACTTAATACAAGTGTTTAACGGTTAGTCGGCGTGGAGAAATAGTGAGAATTAGTGCGAGATAGTGCAAAGATATTTATTTACTTGCCGCCAAGACAACGCTATCAGTTGCGGGTTACACAGAACAGCACTTATCTGGCGATATCTGGAGCAATGGAACCTGTTCATTACACTGATAAAACAAGCCAACACAAATGACAATGGCAGTACGATAGTTAACGATTCCGGGAAACAGGAAGCTCGCCATGAACGTGCCATGGAGCTAAATGTATCTTTTGCGGTCGGATTCTAGCCATTGACTTACTTTGCTTTGCTTTGGTTTGCTTTGAATTCATTAGAAAGGCACAAATGGAAAGGTTATTTTTGGTGGTGTTAAGATATAAAAATATATATAGTATATATATCTAGTATAAATATATAAAGTATATAAAAATTGAAGAAAAAAGCAAACAAATTTTAAACCCAAAAAGTTCAGAGATATTATGGTACAATTTTAAATTAAGAAAGTATATATGAATATAATATAAATTTACATATAAATAGAATAAAATAGATATAATTATAATATAAAAAATAATATTAATTGCTAAAAATATAATAAAAATAGTATTTAATTTATGGGTACAAATTTTTATATTTAATATGGAGAAATGGACCTGCAAAAATTACAAAGATTACCAAGATTGCAAAAATAAGATTTGTAAGACACTTTTTGTTACTTAAAAATATTTCAAAATCAAAAGCCAAAGCCCAAAGCACACCTCTGACCCTCGCTCCAAAAAAAATCGCGAACTTTGTTGACTTTAATTTACAAACCTGGCCAAGAAATTGTAGGTACTCTTTGCCTTGTTGGTGGTTACCCCATCGCCAGAGTTTTGCAAAAATTGCCAGAGCCATAAATAAAGAGCCTCTGCCCTCGGAAGAGGACACAGCATGACCTTAACCTTAGCCCCGATTTCCACTTGTTTTTTTTAGCCACATTTTGATTGGAAGTCGAGGGAAATCGCGCAGAAAAACACTATATATCTACAGCAGAGTTATATATGTTAGAAAAACCAGTTGGCCAGAGAACCTTACAAGTGCCTGGCTAGCGAGATCTTGGCCCGAACGAGTTGGCCAGTTGGAGTTGGACAGATACAGATGGAAATCGCTGTAGAAATATGGGTCGTGCGACAAGAAATGAGAAAGTGCCAGTGCCAGTGCCAGTGCCAGAGTGTGGTCGAAGCGACCGTTAGAATTGGCTTTATGAATGCAAGTCTTGGGCTTGGCATTAGTTTGGAGATGGAAGATCGAAGAGCGACTAATGGCAGCGAAAAAGAACCATTCGAAGCGTGCGAAAATTTTTGTGATTCGATTAAAGAAAATTGCTTGGGGTGAAGGAAAATTATGATAGAAAAGAGAGTTGGAAAGGAATAAATTAATAAAATAAATTTTAATAATAAATTAAGACAGCAGCGGGGAGAAAAATATATATAAAATAAATATATAATAAAATAATTCTGTAAAAAAGTATTTACCAGATATCCTTAAAAATCCTATTTACTTGAGTAACTTTTTGGTATTTTTAGTGTCTTAATTTCTTAACAAAAAACCAAATATTCCAAGACCATCATTAGCTGATAAATTGGACAGCATTAATTAAATGGCTTGCCTCTTTCGCTATCGCCTTTGTCTTTGTTCATTTATTTATTATTTTGGCTTGCCAGTCCGAAACTGTCAATGCAGCAAGGTCATGGATTTAAGTTTAAGGAAACGACTGCCAAATCTAAGAACTTTTCAAGATTTCAAAGATAAATATAGGGGGGCTTAAACTAGACAGAGAAAAATTAACCAAACAGCAATTAAGATAAATGTATATATAAAAAATTATAAGTAAAAGAGGTTAAAAAAATTATAAAAAAGAAAAAAAGCCAAGTTAGGGTAAAATATATATAATATATAATGTATAAACAATATAAAAAAATACATAATAAATAAATTATATAAAATATATATAAAATTTAAATAGTATAATAAAAATATATTATGTACTAATAATAATAAGTTTAAGAGGTTAAACAAATTTTAAATTTTAAATTTAATATATTAAATCTATACTCCAGTTTATTTTTTTGAACTGTTGAAACAGCTTAATTTAATTGAATTTTTAATTTATTTATTATATTATCCTAGCGCAGTAAGTTTACACCTAAAATTGTGGCACTAGTCACATAAATAAATATTTAAAAATAAATATTTTCAGTATTTAAGATATTCCCAGTTTCAAAATTATAAAAAAATATTTAAAATGTAAAAATACATAAAATTAAAACCTCTACTTCGTAATCCTTTACAGATCCCCATCAGAATGTCGGCTGCCACGCACATGGCCTTGCCGGCTCACTCCATTGTCCCGCCACCCCCTGGAACGCCACCTGTGATTACCGCTGGACCAGCTGGTGGCCCCCATTCCCATAACCCTTCCAATTCTAATGTGAAGCGCGGTCACAAGCGCAGTGTCTCGCTGGAGAATAATGCTCCTCTGGCCCTGCGTAGCACGCCCAGCCTGGGGCAGTCCTCGCTGGGATCACCTCTGCTGCAGTTTGGCCAAGGGCTGAATCCCGGCCAGCCTGCCTTTCACACGGGCACACTGAAGTCACGGCAGGAGCAGCGGCGTCTGAGCCAGAAATTCGGCAGTCACAGCAATCTCGATGACGAGGGTGTGGGTTTAGGCCTGGGCCTGGGCTTGGGCTTGGGTGTGGGCCTGCAGATGCGCAGCAAGTTCCAGAATATACGTCAGATGTTCGAGCTGAGTCGCAGTTGTGTGGGTAATGGCGGCGGCAGTTCCGGTTCCGGTGGCGGTTCCGAGGAGGAGGCAATGCAATCTTTGCCAGCCACGTTGCAGCCACAGCAGCAGCAGCAGCAGCAAAGGCGGACCACGCCCATTGCCAGCGGAAGTCGGGCGCAGCAGCAGCAGCAACAGCAACAACTGGGCGAGGCGGAACAGGTGAGGCTTAGCAAAGGGGTGGGGTTTTGGAAACTGAAAACTAATAGAAAATGAAATAAAATCAGGTAAATGCAAATTATTTATTGTTTACTATCCATAAATTATTTATTATTTATTTTTTAAATATTTTTTATTAATCAATTACCCATTTTATGACCTCTCCAGACCAGCAGCGGCAACTTTCTGCGACCAATAGCCTTCAAGCCCATACCATTTGAGCCGGATTATCGCATTGCCTGTCAGCAGCAGCAACAGCACCAGCAACAGTTGCAATTGCAGCAGCAACAGCAACAGCAACACCAGCAGCAACAACAGCAGCAGCAGCAATTGCAGTTGCAGCAGCCACACCACCAGCAACATCAATCGCTGCAGCTGCCATCGTCAGAGGGTTCCGCTGGTGGAACGGAGCGTTATGGCTATGGATCAACACCATCGCTGGCCCCCCTGCCGCCGGCAGCCAGCCAGAAGTTTGGCAGTGAGTAGCAGTTAACATTACACACATTATCTAGTTTGAAGTTAAAGTATTCCATTGGCATTGGGAGTGTACATAAAAACTTGAAATATATATTACCCTGGGAAAACCATAGCGAAGTGTAAGCTAAACTAGCATAACTTGTTTTCGAAAATTCTTTGAAAATTCCTTAAATTAATATAAATATTTATATCTTAATTATTATTTTATTTGTTGACTATAGGCACCACAGATCTGCGTCATCTGGCCGCCCGGCGTCGCAACCATCGCCTCCTGCAACGCTCCAGCAATGAGGATGCCCTAACACTGGACCTACTAAGTCCAGGTGGTGGCCATGACAGACCCGATGGAGCCAGCAGGTAAATATTCCTAGGATTTATAATTGAAAACCCCAAATAAATGAGAAGTCTTCAGTCGTTGAGTTTTTGTAAGAAACTGATTTTATTTCATTCAAACCCTAGCTTATATAGCTAACATGAGAATGTACATTGTAGATCTTAGTTTTAGACCCACGCATCGGACAGTTCCCGATCGTGAGAAATATTCTATGTGCGATAAGGGTGCACATGTCAACCCGATCGTACATATCTTAAACAAACCCAGACCGCTCACAGGAGGTCATATTTCGGGTTACTTGTTACATAGGCTCAAGTGGCGGTTTCAAATAGCTATGCACACAAGTGCTAGACAGTGCACTGTGGCCGGGACTTAATCGCTAACAGATGCGTTCTTATTTATAACCGTGTTCATGTTTGAACATTCTGCCAAGGGCCAGCATGGTGTGGGTGTATATTTAAATTAGTTGCAATTAAAAATAAGTGGACTGTATTTTTGTTGTTTAACTCGACATAATTCATTTTGCAACTAATATTTTACAACGCCTCTGTGTCATGGCTTAATAAACAATTACAATTTCATTTAAATTATTAATTCATGTTCCTGTGTGAACATTCTGCTAAGGGCCAGCAAGGTGTGGGTGTACATTTAAATTAGTTGCAATTAAAAATAAGTGGACTGTATTTATTTTGTTTCATTCGATATAATTAATTTTGCAACTAACATTTTCATAGGCTTGCATATACTATTTGTTTTTAACTTTTTACTTTTAATTCATCAAAATTTGTTTGTATTGTATTTCTTTTTTTGTTTTGTATTATTTTTCTTAATTTTTGAAAAAATTTCTATTTGTTTTAACTGATATTTTATGACGTTAACTCCAGCTTTATAAATACCTCCGAAGTGAGGTCCTGCCGGGGGAATATTGAGTTAAGTAACTCCTAATTCTGCTGCTTTTTCCGCTTCTGCCGCGCCGCCGTCGTCTTTAATTTTGATGTTGTTGTTTTTTGCTGCTGCTGTCGTCGCTGCCGCCGTTGTTTGTTGTAGGATGATTTCCTGATGCCGCCTGTTTCTGTATCGTCGCTGCGGCCGTCGTTGTTGTTGCAGACTTATTTGTAGTTGCTGCCGTGAGGTCGTCCCTCCTTCTCCTTTTCTCCGTCAAGGGCTGGGTAACTTCCACACAATATCTTAGTCGATTTCTCGACCCCAGAAAATTGTTTTATTCTTATTTTCTGGTTGCCATATCTGGCATTTACAAAAAAAAAAAAAACCAACGAATGGAGTTGGAAAAAATATTAATAAGGACTCTTATTGTCCTTTAATTTTAAAAAACCAACCAGTGGAGTTGGAAAAAATTTTTTTGTTTAAAAACAAAAGGGACTCTTTTTTGACCTTTTGAATTGTCGTTTTCACGACCACCAAAAACTTTTTTATTATTGTGTTTTTTTTTTTAATTTGTCACGATAGGTCTTTTTTTTCACTACCGCGACTTTTCGATGTTTTAGGCCTCGAAAAAACGCCCACAATAAATATTTGTTATATTTATTTTTTAATTTTGTCGATTTCTCGACCACTTTTTTTTTAACAAGAAGGACTCTTTTTTTTATCCTTTTGCATATATATATATGGTATATGTTGGCCATTTCAAATACCATAACATAATTTAATGCACTTTTTAATTTTTTTTTTTAAGCACATTTTCTACTGATATTATTGCAGCACGCCTTACCATTTTTTTCATGGTATTACAGCAACCTAAATGGTGCTTGTTTTTTCTTTTAAAACATAAAAGACTCTTTTGTGTCTTTTTGTTTTTATTTTATACTCTGTTCCTTACCACGGGTGGGGGAAACAAGAGTTAATTATTTTTGCAGCCTTAATATTTTAAGGTGCTGATTTATAACTCTGAACCTCTTACCACAAGGGGGAAAGTTGCAGAGCGGTCGAAGGACCAAAATGAAAGACCGCCCGAATTAGAGGACGTCTTCATACGGAGTTATTGTTACAAACTGATTTTATTTCATTCAAACCCTAGCTTATATAGCTAACATGAGAATGTACATTGTAGATCTTAGTTTTAGACCCACGCATCGGACAGTTCCCGATCGTGAGAAATATTCTATGTGCGATAAGGGTGCACATGTCAACCCGATCGTACATATCTTAAACAAACCCAGACCGCTCACAGGAGGTCATATTTCGGGTTACTTGTTACATAGGCTCAAGTGGCGGTTTCAAATAGCTATGCACACAAGTGCTAGACAGTGCACTGTGGCCGGGACTTAATCGCTAACAGATGCGTTCTTATTTATAACCGTGTTCATGTTTGAACATTCTGCCAAGGGCCAGCATGGTGTGGGTGTATATTTAAATTAGTTGCAATTAAAAATAAGTGGACTGTATTTTTTTTGTTTAACTCGACATAATTCATTTTGCAACTAATATTTTACAACGCCTCTGTGTCATGGCTTAATAAACAATTACAATTTCATTTAAATTATTAATTCATGTTCCTGTGTGAACAATAATATATTTATATTATTTATACTATTTTATATCGTTTTTTTGCTAGCAAAAGCAGCGGCGGTGGCACAGTGGTGGGCAGCAGCGACCTGACGCCCTCACCCTCGGACTCCGGCATCTCGGAGCTGGAGGCGGCCCTCAAGGATCGCGACTCGGAGCTCTCGTACCTGCGGCAGGCCATGGAGCACAATGAGAAAGTAATTTTCCAAGTACAAAAGGTTACAACCTGGACGAATGCCATTATACTATAATTTTCTATTTATTTAATTGGATTTCTTCATTTCTTAAATTTTTTTGGAATTTTCCAACCAGGACAAGGAGGTCTACTGGGAGCACGAGACCCAGCGCTTGAGGCTCTTCTATGAGGGCCAGCAAAGAGAGTGCCAGCTGAAGCTGCGCAAAATGGAGCAGCTACTGGGACTGCAGCAGTTCCAGCTGAAGCAGCACAAGCTGCGCCAGTCGGAGCAGGTGAGCCGGCTGCAGCAGCAATTGGATCAGGCTAGGGATACCAGCCTGAGTCTGCAGCAGCAGGTGGATGCTTTGAGGTCCCAGTTGGAGGACAGCGAGTGGCGGGTGTGTGAGCGTAATGGAGAGATAGCTTTACTCAAGACGCAGCTCAAGGAGGCGCATGTAAGTTATATATTTATACCCTTGCAGGGTATTATAATTTCAGTCAGAAGTTTGCAACGCAGTGAAGGAGACGTTTCCGACCCTATAAAGTATATATATTCTTGATCAGCATCAACAGCCGAGTCGATCTAGCCATGTCCGTCTGTCCGTCTGTCCGTCTGTCCGTCCGTCTGTCCGTCTGTCCGTCCGTCCGTCTGTCCGTTTCTACGCAAACTAGTCCCTCAGTTTTAAAGCTATCTGAATGAAACTTTGCATATAGTCTTCTATATACTCTCACTGCTATATATGTCGGAACGGGCCGGATCGGACGACTATATCATATAGCTCCCATACAAATGTTCGATAAATTTTTAGAAAAAAAATTATAACTTTGCTGTTTTTCAACATTTTGGCACCATTTTTTAGATATGACCATTTTATATTATTTCTGAATTTTGGTAAAAATTTTATGAAAATCGGACGACTATATCATATAGCTGCCATAGGAACGATCGGGAAATTAATAGAAAAAAAAATTATATATTCGTTGTTTTTCAACGTATTTTCATCTACTCCGGGATATAAGCTTATTTTATTATTCTAGAATTTTGGTATAAATTTCAAAAAAATCGGACAACTATATCATATAGCTGCCATATAAACCGATCGGTAGATGTATACAAAATGTAAAGCTGGGAATGCAAAACTGTAACTGTCAAACTGTAAACATAATAAGTATAGGTAAAATGTAATGAAATAATATCTGCAAGGGTATACAAACTTCGGCGTGCCGAAGTTAGCTTCCTTTCTTGTTTTTTTTAAATATTAAAAATTCAAAGAAAACCAAATTAATGTTATATTTTTTCAGCTGGAAATCAATGTGAAGGATCATGCTATTGTGAGCCTGAAGCACAGCAGCAGCAACAACAGAAATAGCAGCAGCAGCAGCAGCAACAACTGTGAGACATCGAAAAGCCAAAGTCAACCAAAGCAGCAGGTGAAGGAGGAACATCAGCAGCAACAACATCAGCAGCAGCAACAACATTCTCCAGAATTAAGCCAACATCAACAGCAACAGCAACACCAGCAGCAACATCAACAACAACATCAACAACAACTTCAACAGCAACTTCAACAACAGCAGCAAATTCAACAACAGCAGAAAAATCAACAACAGCAGCAACATCAACAAGAGCAACTTCAACAACAGCAACTTCAACAACAGCAGCAACATCAACAGCACCAACAACTTCAACAACATCAACCCAAGTCACAGCCCGACCAGCGACAATTGCAAAAGATCATCACCCTGAAGGATCAGGTCATTGGAGCTTTGACCAGCGAACTGGCCAAGCTGCGCAAGGAACTCTCCGATCTGGCCATTGCCCATGAATATGGCGAAGAGCCATGTGGTCGCTATACACGTCTCAAGCAGCAGTTGGACAATCTCAATGAGATTTGCCAAAAGACAAGGAAATACACCAACACCACCACGACAACACCATCGTCGCCGCCAGAGGTGCCGCCCAAGCTGGATCTTCTGGTGCAGCGATTGCAGTTGGATCAGGGACAGGTGCCGCAGCAAACGCTGGACACGCTCATCGAGGAGTCTACGACATATGCCGAGGACATAGCCAAGTTGAGACAGAAATTAGACGATTTTCGGCTGAATTTGGAGCTGGAGAAGCGTCAGTGGTGTGCGGAGAAGGACAAGGTCCTGGGCTATCAGAAGCAGCTGCAGGCTCACTATATACACATGTACCAGAAGTTAAGATGCCTGGACACGCAGGGAACAGCAATGGCAGGAGCTGCTGGAGGTGAGGTTGGTAATGGGAAGGGATTGGAGTGAGTGGAGAAATAGCTAGAGCTAGTGGTTTGAGGTCACTAGCTAAAGGTAACTGAATATTAAAATGAATGAATATACTCTGAAAAAAATATAAATAAATACAAACGAAATATAGAACCTTCCACGAGTTAGAAGAGATTAAAAAATTACTAGTAATGGTGCCTAAAATAAACCTAGAACCTTTGATAATGTACCTAAAGCAAATAAATTTATATATCAAATAATATTGGAAATTCTTTTAGACACCTTAAAAAGTTATTTAAAATTTAAAGGTTTCCTATACAATTTGGCTTAGAACTTTCTTGAGAAAGAAAGGATTTAAAAAAGGACATATTTACAGGAAACCTTAAACCTTAAACCTTAAACTTACCTGACTTAAGCCAAGGGCTGCCTTGACCTCCTGCTATGATCCTTCCCTCGGCGATAAATAATACACGATTTTTTAAATATTTTTACAAAATATGCATATTTAATTTTTTTTGTTTTTAATATTTTACAAATATATATATATCAATATATATATGTATGTATACTTTTAATTTATGAAATGTAATTACGCACGAGAGAAAAAAAACCTTTGTGATTCCGCATACGTGAATAAAATAATAATAATATATATATATATATAATATGTCGTTCCATTATGCAATAAAAAATTATGTAGTAACAATATACTTTTTATTGATGAGGGCCATAAGTCAGAGCTAAAATAATGGGCTAATGACTCAGCTGGGCTTTATAATATAATATATTAATATAAATGGTAATTGGTAATTGGTAGTTAACAAATATGTAAAAAAAAAATTAGGTAAAATAAAATTAAATACAATCTTTTATCATAGATTACTTCGTAGGCTTAATGCAGAGGCCTGTCCTGGGATCAGCAGTTTGTCAGCGGCAGGATAATAATTAAACATATATATATACTAAAGGAGGTCGATTTGTTTGATACAATATATATAGTGCTTTTTTTTTAACAAATCATTAAGTGATGAAATAATTCTTACAGCTGTAAAGTTGGTAAATGATTAATTCTTTAAATGAAAATTATTCTTGAATATATAGGTCAATTCTTATCCCATTTTTCCTTTAACCCTCCTCTTTTTTATATATTTTTTAATATTTTTGAACAACTTTTGCTCTTTACAAAAATATTTAGTATACATTTAACCATTTACTAATGAAAGATTTCAAGTAGTTCTCCAAAATAATCAACTAAATATTTTCATTTTTCATAAACCAAAGTTTTTTTTTAACAAAAATGAAATATTTTGTGTTTTTCGTTTGTTTTTCTTTTCGTTTGGGGTTAAGTTAAGTGGAATATGAATATTAAATGAATTTTAAATGTTTTAAATATTTTTTTTTACGGATTTTTAATTTTAAATATATATTTTTTATGGATTTTGAATTTGAATTTAAAATATTTTTTTTTAATGGATTTTGAATTTAAATTGTTAAATGTTTTAAATATATTTTTTAAGGATTTTTCAAATAATAGTTTATGGTTTTATATATAAAAGAAATTACAAAAGAAGTAACTTGTAATTTCTGAAGTTTTTGAATATATTTTTAATATTTTAGCAAGTGTTTTTAAGATTTAAGATCCCAAGAAAGTATTGAAAAATGATCAAAAAATAAGTTCCAAATTGTAAATCAAATCATCAGCTTATTCCCATTTTTAAAGTAATTTCCAATTAATTAAATTTAATTTCTTTTTAATTTTCATATTAAATTTCAGATTTTTGTATCAAACAAATCGAATTCCCACAATCCATACACTCATCTCACAGACACACACTCACACACACACACACACACACATAGATTCTTACTTATATATATTGTTGTTGGTTCCTCTAGGCACACTCCTCCACATAGGTGGCCGGAAAGATGCCAATATGATTTCTGAGGGCTCCCAGCCACCAGCCATCGTCCTGCTTGGCATGGACCTCAATGATGTCGCCGGGACTCAGTTCCAGCTCATCGTAGAGCTTGGGGGTGTAGCTGTACAAGGCCTTGCAGCGACCTAGGATCGGACCAACCACGCCTTGGTCCTCGTCCTCCTTCTGGCTATTCTGCAGATCCTGCGCATTCTGATAGAAATGCTGCGTCTGCAGTGGATTTGGCGTTTTATTGGGCATCGGCATTACCGGTTGCTGCTCCTCATCCTCCTCGTCCTGCGAGCTAAACTCATCAAAGTCCGAGTCCTGCTGATTGGAACCACCATCCGCCTGGCCGCGATCACTGTGCTGATGATGATGATGATGTTGATGATGGTTATGATTGTTGGCCAAAGTCTTGGCCTTGACAGACATGGCCGCCACGGCGGCATTCGTTGTAGAGATTATCTTTGGTTGGCTGGTAAAATTGGTCTCAATGTTGCTCTTGCTCCGGTTGAAGGGCTTCACCACCGAACTGATATCCGTGCAGGAGCCATTGCTATTGGTGTGGCTGCCATGCAGGTGAGAGCAATGATCATCTGGAAGCTCATCTTCATGGCCAGCAGCGGTGGCGGCTGTATCGGTGATATCAAGAGCGGATTGCTGGTGCTGCTGCTGCTGGGATTTGTCGTTGTTCTTCAGCCAGTTGGGCACTTTAAGGATGCTCTGCTGGAGGCCAGTGCGGTCACGGGTGATCTTTAGGAAGAGATAAATTAGTTAAAGCCATAAAAGAAGCCTCAATTCCTTACCTGTATATGCTGGGCCAGTGGATGTGTGGTCCTAGGCTTGTGATCCAACTCCAAGAGCGCCGAGTGCAGCTTGAGACGGGCTCCCTCCAAGTAGGTAAGCATGGAGCGGATCTGCAAGGTTCAAAATCCAAGTTTATATACATCCAAAGAATCCCTTACAAATCTTATTGAAAACCCACATGGTATAGCTTATCGGTGATGTTTTGGTGCTCCTGATGGTTCAGCGATTGCGACAAACCCCTCAAGCCATCACGGGAACGACGCTCTCGCTCCAGATCCGTCTTGACCAGCTGCAGCAGCTTGACCAAAGCATGCTTGCGTCGCTCTCGGTTCATGGCCAATGTGGTGTGTTCACAGTAGAAATCCGGCAGCAGCTGCTCGCTGGGTCCCTCAGAATTGCGCCGTATGTGACGCACCACCTGCATATCCTTGGACACATTGCAGGCCTCCAGTTGCGGCTGCAATCGGGCACTTAGGCCACCCAAGATCGGATTCATGTCCGCTATGAGGCGGGCATATTGCTGGGCAAAGTTATGCATATTGCCCAGACGCTGCTGCTCGCTGCTCTGCAACTGGGCACTGCCCCGGAGCACGGCCATCTCCCAGTCAACCCTGGCCCGCTCGGCACGCACACACAGGGTATAGTACTCCACATCGGCTCGCTTGACCGCCTCCTCGGCCTTTTTGCGTTTGTTGTCCAACTTGACGCAGTCCTTTTCCGCCGACTTGAGCTCCTTTTCAGCGGCCTGCTTGTTGGGTCCCTGGTGGAGCAGGGCAATTGAGGGGGATTTCTGGATGCGTACATCCAGCATGGCGTCTTGGAGTTTTTCGTTCTCACGAGCAGCTGTGTGGGAGGCCTTTTTGGCCTTGGCCTCGCTGGCCCGCCATTCGCCCAGGACACGGGCGGCCTTGTCCACGTTGCTCTCCACCTGGTGAGGAGGAGGAAAATAATTATTTATAGGGAACATGAAGGATTGGTTTTTCCCTAACTTACCGATTTGCGTGCCTTGTGATGTCCCTCCACCACTGTCTTGAGCGGCTTGACCAGCTCATCTGTTAGAGAAGCCGCCAGCTGGCGATGGATATCGCTGCGGCTCTCCATTTCCGTGGCCACGCCACGCCAGGCATCGGCCACGCTGCCAGGGATCTCTCTGCCGGCCTTGTTAAGCTTATTGGCCAGCTTGGAGAGGGATTTCGAGTAGATGAGCTCGGAATCGGCTCTGGAAAAGGGAATACAGTCAAGGAACTGCCTTTTTTGTACTTTAAAAACTAACCTCTCCTGCAGGACAAATATAAGCTCCTTGCTAAAGTCACCGCCCTGCTTGACATATCGCCGGAGTTCCTCAAAGCCGTTCTGTCCCTGTTCCCCCAAAAAAAAGTAATAATTAATAATTATTTAATAATTAAAACAATAATTTAAAAGAGCAAAAGGGTTATGTTGCTCCTTCACACCAACGACCACAACAAGTAAGCCCTAGAGATGTCTACCTCATCCTTGAACCGCTTGGCATGCGGCGACAGATCCTCCTCGCTATTCCTATTCGACATGGAGGATTCCATTTCGGTGACATCCTCACAGCTCTCGGTCATGTCACGACGACTTCGTTCCGGCGACATTGACTTGGCATTCGCCTCCGACTGGTTAAGATTATTTCTAGACTGGGCCAGACGCTTCAGCGGTGTCTGCTGACGCACCACCTCCTTGATCTTGAAGCTCTCCTCGCCCAGCCAGTTCTTCATGCCATGCCAGCCCTTCCTTAGCTTCTCCTTGTTGTGACTAAAGTTGATTAGTGTCTGGTTCTTATTTTTGAGTAAAGTGATCCTCCTCTCGCTGGGCCTCAACTGATCCCTGTGGGTGCAGTATTCCAGGTCAATCTCACGACTAAAGTCCTCCGATTCGTTAATCTGACGGGAAAGCTCCTGCAGCTCGTCAATGGACACGAATAGATTCTGGGCATTCAGGCTCTGATAGCTAATGGACTTGAGATCGAAATCCAAGTCGCCGGCATTGCTGCTGCTTGCCAAGCTCCGGTGGCTGCTCTGCTGGGAGCTGCGCTGCGAGAGCTTCGAGTTGAAGTACAAGGAGTCCAGGCTCTTGAAATTAGCTTGCTGGGCGGCAAAGCCACCGTTGGGTATGGGTGTGCGGATTATCTCCTGGGATGACTTTACGACAGGCTCGTTGTTCTCCTTGTTATTATCACTGGCCGCCAGGCTCAGCTCACTGGCCCCGTACAGCTCCGGCAGCTCGGGTAGATTCAGATCCAAGTTGCCCAGCTTGGCCGGCGCCGTTACATTCATGTCCAATGCCATCGAGTGGGTCTTGTGCAGGTAGATACTAAGCTCGCTCCGATGAAGATTCTGGACCGATTGGGACTGCATCTGCTGTCGGGCAATGCGTGGTCTCCGGATGGGAGGTTCCACCTCGTTATTGGATTCGTCTGGAGTCTTTGGCGGAGTGATGGGGGTGTTGGCTTCCTCAACCGTAACCTCGGGCTCGGGATCGGGATAAGGATCAGCGGGATGATGCTTGGGCGTTTGAAATTGATCCTGTTCCTCCTCGAGTTCCTCGTCCAGGCTTCCGGCAATATCTGATTTCCCTTTCTCACCCAGATCTTCTAAGGGTTTCACATCCTCCAAGTTAATTCCATCTTTTTCTGGTTGCTGTTCCTCGTGGTCCCGATCCATCCTCTCATACTGCTGTGGCGTGCCCCTGGCGTCCACAAACTCATCCTCATCCGAACTCTTGGGCGTTAGAGTGCGAATAACGCTGGATGTCTGGGCAATGCCCCCACCAATCTGCTTTAGCCTTGCCTCGGTCACATCGAAGCGATCCGTATCCAGCGTGGTTGTTGATATCAAAACAGGTGCTCCGATTTCCAGACGATGATCCTCCGAGTGACTGCCGGTCATGTTGTAGCTGCCGTGATGCAGTTTGCCCGGCGACACCAGGTGATCTCCACTCCCGGGATGATGATGTGGGTGCTGCTGCTGATGGTTATCTCTGCCCGTGTGCAGATTCATGCTGCCCAGATGACGACGTCCCAGTACCGAGTACCGTTTGATTCTTCCAAGAAATCCTTTGGCTCCACCATTGTTATTATTTGTGTTATTATTATTATTGTTATTGTTCGTATTGGCATTATCCGGTTGGGGCAGATCGGCGGCACTATCTTTGCCGCTAACCAGACGGAATTTATTCACCCGCAGGTGGTTCATCGTTGACGGCTGTTCGATATATGACACAGAAAAAATATTACAAAATCGGTAATTTACACCAAGTTCTTCCTGTGCGTATGTGAAAGTGCGTGAGTTCTTTCTTTATCTTTCTCCCTCCTGGAGGTAGCTGCAACAACGAATACAGCGAGGGTAAAAGGGAAAGCAAACAATGGCAAGAGAGCAGCGCTCAAGAGAGAGAATCGAACAGGAGAGTCGACTTGAAAATGACGCGTGCTGATGGGAAAGTTCCCGTTTTTCCTTTTTTTCCAATTGGAACGCCCACTCTTGCTAGTTGCCGATAAGAAGTCGCATAATTATGACACGTGTGCAAATTTTTACTAACTCTTGAAGTTATTAATAAAATATAAAAGATAAATTTAACTATTAACAAGTAGTGTGAGAAAGTGGAATGCTTTTTTTATAAAATCTTATGTTTGCCGTTCAAAATTAATTAATATGCCTCGAATATACACAGTTTCGTATACATATGTACATGTGTATGTAGGCCTCATCATTGCCCTAAGGTAACCTAAATTCCATTGGTAGCCCCTTCTTCATAACAAGGTAATCCCGTATACCCAACCCTTATCCCCATTTAATACCCTGTACTAAGTAACGCTAGGCCGATGTTCACCTAAATAAGTGCATACAAACATAAGATGCAGCCAACACACAAAAACACACCGAACATGAGACAGTGAAAAGGGGGAGGATGAGAAGAACAAGGGACTCAAGGAAGGTGCAAAGAATCAAGTGAAGAGAGGAGTGCAGGGTCTCCACCTTCGGTCATGCTTGTCCGCTCTTGTTGCCTTGCGGTGACCCCTGAGTCTCTCTCTATTAGTTTTCTCCCCTCCTCTTTGCTCCAGTTTCGATGCAGGTAGAGATTACAAAACGGTTCGGCCTGTTTATTGAGGTGCAAAGAATCGAAGAGGAGTGAGAGCATAAAAGGGGGGCTCTCTGTGAAAGAAGGGCGATAGGAGAGGGACAGTAGGAAGCCGACTCACAAATCGCTGCGTTGGCCACTGCAAACAGAACAATGATTAATCGCTGCCGGCACCCTCATCGACTGCAACTTCAGTTTTACTTCGTTTCTGTTTTATATCTGGCCGATCAAGTGTGGCTATATATTCAATACAATCAATAACAAAAGTGTAATAACTCGTTGTGTGATTAAAATTTAAACAGTGACTCGGTTAAAATGTACGTGAGCGGCAGAGCGTCGGAAGAGGCACTAGCAGAGCTTTCCAGCTTTTCCAGTGGATTAAAGTCTTGTGATCTTCAGGTAAGTCTGAACTAACTAAAAAATTATGTTTAAATTTTAATAGAAGACCGCATCATATAGTATTGTATCATAAAACAACAACATTTTAAGTATTATGCTATTTTTTTGCCCCCCACTGTTTCCTTTTCACTGTAAGCATTTCTCCGCTTTGCATTTCTGCTGCTCCTCTTCATTTTGCTCTTTTCGCCATTCCGTGTGGGTAATTATATAAATCATTTATTTATGAACTATTTACTTTCGAGTTAAGCCAGATAATGGCTATACTCGACGATTTCCCCCATTTCATTTACGCCGCCGGAATGAAATGCAAATTGTTTTTTATTTTTCCCTGGGCAAATCATATTTTTTTTTTCTAATTGCAAATGTTCATACATAAATACATATGTATGTGTGTTGTTACAATTGCATGGCAAAGTTTAACAGAGAGCGGAGAAGAGGGAGGGGAAAGAGCAGAGGGAGTAGGGAGAGTACTGGATGTTGGGAGAGTACTGGAAGTAGAGAGAGTACTGGGGACAGGCGACGATCATCGGCGGAGCTCATTAGGCGGCTGTTGTTGTTATAACTGTAATGTGATGTAAGCTTCGTGCCAAGTACAGATGTACATACGTATGTACTAAATACATACATACATATTCATCTGCACTCTACAGTGCGCACTCTATTATAAGACTGTTTCGAATATATTCTTTGAATTTGGAATAAACTAATGTGGGCTATATAAATAATCATTTAAATATTAGATTTTAACTCTACTGTTCTCTTCTATATTCTCATTCATTCTTTTGTTTTGTTCTATTCTTTTTTTTCAGCTTTTAGCGAGTGGTCACTGTACTAAAGAGAGCTTGTATTCATGCTTGTATCTGGGTTGCCTTTGTTACAGTTTTCGCGATTCAAATGGCCGACCTGCGAAACCGTAGTAAGTAAAACAATTTAATTACATTTTGCACTTGTTTGTTGTTGCGGCTAATAGCATTTGCATCGAAGAAGCCGAGCGGGCTAAAAAGGAAGATGCAAAAACAAAAAAAAAACTTAACAGTAGGGGGGAAGCCGGGTTAAGCAAACAGGCGAATAAACACAAAAGGCATTGGGGGGCACAAGGGGTTAATCACTCTGTCTGCGATATGTCACGTTTCTGGGGAGGCAAGTGGAGTGCGATAAAGTGGAGTGTGTGACAAGTCAAAAGACAATTCAACTAATGAGCGAGCTTAGCTTAAAAGCCGCCCAAGCAGTCGAGAAAGCAGTGGGCAAGCAGTGCCTACACTGGGGCGGAAAAAGGTAAAACCAGGAAGGGGAAAGGAGCGAGCTAGGGATGCTTTAATTCTCAAGAATCCTTTTCTTACATATATTTTCTGATTGAATATTTTTGTATCTATTATTTTATTTATTTTAATTAAAAAACCAATCTGAATTTTATCATGCTTGTTTGAATAAAAATTAATTTAAATATACACATAGTTGCTAACCGGATAAAAAAGTTTTCTTCACTTAATGAATCTTATCACAGTTATCTAAGCTTCTTATTCTGTTATCCAAACAGTGGTTATAAAGTAATAATAAAGCAAATACTACATACAAACACCAGAAACACTCGACTGGAAAACTTGTATATATTTTTCTGGATTGGATTTATTTTATTTCTGAATTTTCAAAATTTATTTCAACTGCATGATATGAAACCGAAAAAAAGGTGGGGCAGAGGCGGAAAACAAACCGAGAGGAACCTGCAATTATGGTCAGCCTCCTGCCAACTTCGCGTTCCAGGTTTAAAAGTCAAATAACATAAATTATGGCCAGACGGACGGCGGATCATACATATGTACATATATAGGGGGGGCAAAACCAACCAAGACGAACGGGGGGGAAGTGGGAAAGGTGGTTCTGAGATCGGGATTGGATCGGAAGGACTACCCGCCCGTGGGTCCAAGATCGCTCTCTATAAATAGAGTTGCCAACAACTGTGGCAATTGCAGCCACCGACAATTGCCTTCCCCCCGATCCCCCCTGTTTTTGTGCTCCTTCTCTTCTTATGGCAATTTATGATTAATAAAAGGAATTAATCGCACAAAATGCCAGCGAGTGGCCATAATTGGTGGCACTGGCGGACTCCTGTACGGCCAATGGATCACAGTCAAGGTCGGCCCTTAAAGGTTATATCCTCTTTATACCGCAGTTAGATCATGTTTGCCAGTTCTCTTGAATATTCTACGTTCACTTATTTTCATTTTGTTTTCTTGTTTTTTTTTTATCTAAATTGGTTTATGTTCTTTTATATTTAATTTTAATTTCACTCCCGCTTTGCAACATTTCTATCGACACTTAACGATGTTCGACTGATTTATAATATCGATCGACTTCAGTTTTTATAACAATTTAAGCCTGGAAGTGCACTTAGAGAAATTAAATGATGAAAATGTCGCCCTAGGGTATAAGTAAATTTTATTTTATTAGTACAACTTAAAAAAAAAACTATTAAAGGTTTGAAAAAATCTATAAAAATAGAATTCAAAATTATTTTGATTAACTTTTTAGAGCTTTTAATAATTTTAATTTTTAATAAAGTATTCATAAAATTTGTGTAATAAAAATAATTAAAATTATTTTCCTATTGTTATATTTTTAATCAATTAATTATTTACATTTTTAATATAGTATTAACAACATTTTTTTAATAAAAATAATTAAATTTCTTTTCCCATAATAATATTTTTAATTAAAAATGATCAATGATAGCCTGATTTTTCTTTGTGTTTTGCTGAAAAAGACCAAGTACCTCCATGTACCTATGTACCTATATGTACCTCTCAATGCCTGACACTAAGAACTACCTTTTATATAGAAAACGATTCCCATAAACAAAAAGTGCGAATGTCGCCCGAACACCCAGATGTGGTATATAGCCCATAATGGGTTTCGTTTTCACCTGAGAAAAACATTGCAGATATTTTCCGACCAACCGATCGTGCACGTATCTATGTATCTCTGGGATGGTGCAAAAGTATCTAGAAATCTTTGGCGTTGTTATGCGACTATTTACTTGGCATTAATCTCATTCCAACGCTGGATCCACCAGTAGTTTATGATGCGCATTTATCTCATTTAATGTCTAGAACAATAAACAAATCGCAAAGCGTGTTTTTGCTGCCAAAAAACAAAAAGGGAGAAAAGGCAAAAACAAGTGAGAAAAGCTAAATAGATTTTCCTGGCCTTTGCACTTCGCCTCGTGCCCGATCGGTTGATCTTTCGATCTCAAAAATAGATAATGAAAATAAGCCAGAGCAGCAAAAAAAAAAAAAAGTAAAGTAAAAACAAAAAAAAAACAAAAAAACTCACCGAAAAAAACCTTATAAACAGTGCTACTCGTGTCTGTATGTCGACGCTTTCTGTTTCACTTACGCAAATATTTTCACAACTTATCGCGAGATGTTGCGCCAAATGCGCAGGGTCTGAGACCCGAATGCAAAAATAATTCTCTTAATGAGGCATTCAATGGCGAACCGCTCAGTGTTTGCCTTTCCCCGCATTTCTTTCAAATACCATTCAAATGGCAAAGACAGTTTTTTACGAGTTCATATGTCTGTCTGTCTGTTTGCCCTCTAATCTCTTTTTTCCCCCACCCCAACCACCGACCGATCGACCACCTGACTCGGGTAGGTCACGTTCGGCTGGGTGTTGGGATGATTTCATTGAATGCGAAACGAGATATCTAAGATACAGGTGGAGATAGCAGCGGGTATCTGTAAGATAAACGGATTACAATGAACGATAAGGAAGTTAAGCGATATCTTTTGGGTAAAAGATGCTGGGTAATCGTTATATTTAGGAGAAGTGAGCTCTGGTATAAGAAAATCTTTCTTTTTATAAAAACTTTTTATTAAAAAGTAATTACAATTAGCTTAAAAATTAACACAGAAAGACAAGTCAGGACTAAGAGCAAATTAACTTTACAATACGTTATACTACTTGCACTTATAACACACTTAATTACTTAAGTTTTTTGCTGTAAATATTTTTTTAGAGTCTCTAAAATAATATTAAGCAACACGTGTTTATATAATTTTATGTTTCGGAACTGCAGCTTCCATGGTTATTTTTTTTTTGTTAGAGATTAACTGAGGTTGCAGTGCTTTATAAATAAGAAAAACGTGCCCATTGTCTTGACCTTATATTTATAATCTGTATGTAAACATTAACTAAATAAATACTGGCAAAAACTAATCTGCAAGAAGTAAGAACACATTTAAAAAGTCTTTTTAAAAGTTTTAAACTTGATACTTTTTAGAGAAACAGATACAAAACGTGACATTTTTGTTAAAGATAATTTATTTCTTTTAAACAATTAAAAAGTCCAAGTATTATATAATGAGATCCCCTTTTAAGAAATCCCAAACCCTATATCTATGATCTGTAATTGTAATGACCAAAGTCCGTGTGTCGTGCAGAAGTCAAAGTTTCTGTGATTAAAGTTAATTGAGAGAACCTCCCCCTCACAAGTTAGAAGTTTACTTCAAATTAGTAACTTTTACAAAGGAGAAGTGAAGCTTTTACTGCTGCTGCTGCTGCTGCTGCCTGCACTCGGTTCATGTGGGTGTCAAGGGGTTAACGCAATTAACCCATGGCACCGGCACCGCCTCAATCAATTTTCTTCCCTAAATGTCATTGACATGCAATGTTGCAGCAGGCAGCAAATTGACAGAGGGACACGAGGGTTTGAAAAGCTTTTATTATATTTTTTTTTTTTTTAGTTTTTCTTGGGTTTCTGTTTCTTTTTTTTTTCGCCTCAATTCTTCTGCCGAATGCCGTTAGACGAAGACAACGAATAGTGGCCACTATCTCAGTCACTCTTAGTGGGCTCTTAGCACCCGTCAATCTTGTTAGAAATGCGTTTGAAATTCTTCTTGAAAAAAGGGCAAGAAGAAAGACCAAAGAGCAGACACGTCTAAAAAGCGGCTGCATTTATTTTTATTCGACATTCGGTCATTTTGGGGCTTACGCTTTGTTTTTTCGTCATTGTGTTTGTCTTTGTAATCCGTTGAATTGTGTGTGTGCCTAATTAACTATATAGAATTGCAGTGGAGCCTCGAAAGTGGGAAATTGTGATGTAACAATTTAGAAATTAAAAAATAGATATTAAAAATGCTTTAAAATAATTCTTCTTGAAATATTATATTTAAAAATCATTTTAAAAGTATTAGCTTTTTAAAATTAGTTTAAATAAATGTGTTATTATTATTAAATTATTTTAAAATATATTTTTATTGAGATTTACAACTCATAATTTATAGACTTTTAAAGAAATTTAATCATTTATAATATTTTTTTTATTATTATTATTTATTTCTTTGACGATATATTTTTATATCATAATAAACAGATTTTATTCTGATTTATTTTGACTTTTAAAAAATTTAATCATTAATATTATTCGTTCTTATATACATCTAATTTAATAACTAATTAAGAATAATTAATATAAAATTTCAAGAAATATTTTAAATATTTTAAAGTTTAGATCACCCTTTTGCAGTCTTCACTGTATCAAAAGATATCGACTCGTAACGGTATATCGTTATTCAACAATAAAGTTCTGCCAAAAGCCTAACAACAATTGCTGGGTCATAAATAATTATGCTAATCGCTGGCTAAACCAAAGAACTCTCGCCATCAAAAGCAAAACCAACGGTCATGTAAAGATCACATAATATCTATAAATATATACATATATATTTGTGGATATATACAGACATTAAGACGATATATGTATATACATATATATGTACATAGATGCGTGTAGACATCATCGTCTATGGTTTTTATTGTGTTCTATTTGGGAATTGTACAAAAATAATTGGCACATATTCAAAGTTGTTTAGACTGTTTTTTTCGGTTATTTGGTTCATTCCATGAAAGTCTGTGTTGCCAACGAAATTCGCCCCGTCTAATTGCAGCTGAAGAAACATACGTTTTTGTGCATCTGACAGATGCGTTTGTCATTTGTCATGGGCGCACAAACTTGAGCTCATTTTTGGAAGCGACAGGAGGAGGCAACAAGGTCGGCCGGCAGATAGCACCAACTATAAAGGCCCCCACCAAAGACACTATTTGATTTGCTTGAAAAATAGACACACACACATGAGATATACAAAACAGATATATATATGTATATATATATACATCTACACGATGCATTTGCGTCAGTTTTGTATCTTGTAGATGCAGAATCGAAACACGAAGAATAGAAAACCGTTGCAGGGGGTTGCCAGAGGCTACAGCAAGTGCTCCAAAAATTATTTAGCGCTGTTTTTAAATTCTCAGGGAAATTGTATTTCATAAAATTGTATTTTCTGTGAGTTTTGTTGGAATCGCAAAGAATATAAACATCTTAATGGATTTTTTTTAGTTCTAAATTTCATTTATGCAGTTTTTTAAAACTGTTCTTATATAAATTTAAAAAAAACTTTCAGTAATTGTTAGTAAATGATTTTGAAAGCTCCCTTTTGAATGAATCTGAATTGATATAATATAAATTAAAGTAAATATATTTAATTTATATTTATATATTATATAGAATATAGAATATTCTATTTATTAGCAAATGTTTTTTTAAATATTTCCATAGGAATTTCTGTGAGAGTTTCTGGACAATATTAATATAACTTGTACTTTTTTACAGTCTAAAAAATCCCTTAAACCTGTTTTTTTGGAGAGTATATTCCATATTTTCTAGAGAACTCATATTCTATCCATATTCCAAACTGTTTGAAATCGAAAGCAGTTAAAGACTTGATTGTTTTTATCGCTCCATTTTTTTTTTACGGCAGGGATTTGAAAAGTCACACGAAAATAATTCTCATTCAATTTCAAATGAAATCAATCAAAAAACAAAAACCTAATTCACTGCATTCTCTTGTTGTTGTTGTTGTTGTTATTTCGCACGTTTCACACACGCACACTCAGAAAAAAAAAACAATTAGATATTTCGTATTGCGGTTATGCAAACAACAAAATATATACACATCTACACATAAAAATATGTATAGATGGGAGGGAGAATTGGTGCAAAATTTACCGAAAATAAGCTAAACTCAAATGAGTGCAATTATTATTATTATTATTTTTTGGTATTATTATTATTATTGTTATTTGTCTACGGCGGCTGTGGCGACATTTACAGCAACGCGCGACGTCGGCGTCGGCGACTAAATTTAGAACGGATCAAAACAGCGACGTCGACGGGGCACAACGCGCGGCAGCAGACTGAACTGCCGCCGGTGGGAGCTCTGCCAGAACGCAGAGCGCCAACGCAGACAGAGGCTGGGGAGGCGGCAGCAGCAGAGCACAGTGGGGTGGCTTTTACAAATTTCAACACAGAAAAATAATGAGATATATAAGGGTTTTGAACACATATAAAAAGTGGTGAAAAATATTTAAAGAAATATTTTTTAAGAGAAATTTTGATAATCAAAAATTTTAAATTTTTAGAAAAAGTTTGGAATTGGGTTTTTTTATTTTTAAAAACTCTACAAAATAGACTGAAATAGTATTTGTATTTAAAGATAATTACTGACAATATTTTTTTTTGTACCAAATTTAAACAGTTTGCATATCAATGTCTATTATAAAATATTAATATTATATTTAAGTAAATATTTTATTAAATTATTTAAATATTTTCATTTAATTATTCTATTACTTTATTCTCAAATATATTTTCGCCTGATCCTAAAATTAAATTATTCAAGAGTAGAATAATAATATAATTAAAAATATTAATAATTTTGGGTTCTACTAAATATTTAAAAATTTAAATATTATATTAAATCTAAAATCAAAACAAATTTCCTCTAAATAAGTTGAATTTCTTGCAATTTCTGTGTATGTATGTAAATTTCCAACTAAAGGTCACTGTTTTACCCAGAGAAATGAATATCCACCCCACTGTATACAGTGCAGTGCAGCAAGCCCAAGGCAGAGCTAGACATAAAGAGCAGCAAGAAAGAATGCAGCAGATGCATTTGGGAGCAGAGGGCGAGAGACAAAGATATAGAAGGAGAGAGCGCTTGGAGCATGTGCACCACAGTCCATGTGCATCGTGCTGCTGCGCCGAAGCAGGAGAGCTCTGAGCTCTGCCTCTTTCCTGGATGCTGCGCTGCACCTGTTGTGGCTCTCCACTCGGCGCTCCTGCTGCTTTGTTTTTGTTTTCGTTTTTGGTTTTGTTATTATTGTGGACAACACATCGCGTAGGCCACATATTTGAATGGGAGACCGCTGCGATGACGCAGACGCAGACGGCGATGGTATTACGGTACTAGCGCAGCCGTCGCGTCGTCTGCACAGCATGCAAAGCGGTACGGTACTCGCTGATTGGCCTGCCAATGTACCGTTGCACAGTGGGCCTCAATCGATCAGCGGCATAATTAATTAATTAAATACTTAATTGGTAATTGGCAAGAGACGGAAAAAAGAGAAATATCTGAAGATTGTACACATGTTTATGGCGGTTTGCTGTTGATAGAAACATAAATACATTGTGTTGTTTACTTTTTTAGATATTAATTTATATATTACATTTTATTAGAGCGTATATTTGATATTTTTGTAAGATTTTCTTTGATATCTTACAGATATTTCTTGATGCATCCAAAAGATGAATTGAGTTTTTGGGGGATCCTTTATCCAACATTTCAAAACCATTTATTGGTAAGTATATTTTTTATAGTTTTATATTTTTATACCTTTGAATTAAGATTATTGTTTGCTTTAGTTATGATACTTGTAAAGTTAAATTTTCTTAAGAAAATAAGCAAATAAAAATATCCTTGAAATATCCCTAAAATGTGGATATATATTATTAACTAGTTGAGGCATCGTATAGTTGGCATAATAATTTGTACATTTTTATTATTATTTATTAATATATGATTTATTTATCAGTTATTATTTTCCCAATTTAATCCCATGATCAAATTTTGAAATTCTGCAAGGGTTATAAAATCTTTCGCATCCCGTTGGCAGCTTCCTTATATGTCACATTTTATGTAGCTTCGTTTTTTCACTGCATGCATAGGACATTTGCTCCACTGTGCACCATCTCGGCTTCGTCTGCAGAGTGATACAATAAATTTAAGCAGCTAAATAGCTAAAATGCACGTGCTGAGTGAGGAGACGGCGACGCTGACTGCCGTTGACAAGTACCGGTATTATGGTCGCCGGATCGCTGGATCGCTGGATCTTTCGGATCTTCGGATCCCGGTTGCATAACCATAACCATGGGCATGCGCTTCAGATGCGATTTATGCAGCTTGGGTGATGTGGATGGTGATTATAATCGGAATAGGAATCGGAATTGCTGGAAACCGTTCACACGACACGAACGGCGCGCGAAGCAGCCGGCGCTGCACTTGCCGCTTGACCGACATTCGCCCGGCATAAAAACCCGTACTTCGGGTTTTCCTCGCCGGCAACAACGAGTATCTTGTATCTTTTTTTTGTTTTTGTAATTTTTTTTTGGCGTTTGAAAAATGTAAATTAACCCGTGTTGTGACATTTATGAGATGCATCTTGTGGAGCTGCAATACTAGCTCCAAAGACATATTGTAAAACAGAAACTTACTTGTCATTGTCGTTGTTGTCTTTGGTCATTAGGCGAAGGTGCAAAAATACTCGGATTAACACTTTTGAAATCAGCTTACCTGTAAAGGAAAAATATATGGAATTTGTTTTTAGATGCAATCTAGTGGGTTATATAATTGCTTGTGGTTAATGAGTGACTGAAATTAAATGAAGCAACCAATTCCTTGGAAAATAACTATAGTTATAGGTCTTAATACAGCCACCGAAGAGCGGAAAATCTGAAAACTCAAAGCTTACTATATCTACAGGTTTAGCCAATACCAAAACCAATTTACAAACGCTAGAGAGGTTTTACACCTGTTTTCTGACATAGCCAAGTTTCACACTAGATGGCTTTATTTTTTAATTTTTTTTTTTAGAAAATATATCTTTACATTTAAATATTTTGTGAATTAAGTTTTGAATTAAATCTACGAAAATTAATTTATTAAAAATAAATTTAAAGGCTTATTATTTTAATTAAAATTGAAGTTGAATACCATCAACACAAAATATGCTAAATTTGTATTAATTAATATTTAAAAAAGTTTATTTTTATTATTTAAATTATTTTTATTATTTTTCTATTAAGGGAAACTTTGTAGAATTTTTTGTGTAAAGAAACTTCCTTTTAAAAGTCAAGACTGTTTATTTAAGCTTTATAAATTGGCAAGTGTGTTGTTTGCTTTTAAACTTGAAATAATCAATTGTGTGGAGTATTTTGGCTTCCGTTTTGCCTTGGACTGTTTTTTTTGCCTTTACTTGTTACTCATTACCTGTAGCTATCTTTCTAGATGTTTAGTTTTTGTTTGCTATTTTGCTTTTTTTTATTTACATACAACTTGCACTTGGCTGCTAAATACCGCCGGTGAAACTGGTTTAACAATCGCAATCAATTCACACCGACTTGTAGAGGTTATTGGGGGTGGCTGGGGCTGGGGCTGTGGCAGGGGCAGACGACACATAATAAATTTAATTTCGATGGCAGATCTCAATTGTGTTGCTAAACAAATGAGTTAAACGCTCCAATGGGTTGATGTCACCCGCATCGTTCATACATGCAGTATATATGGGATCTGTTTAGTTCGGTATTCGTGGATCGTTGGATGTGTGGGATGCAGATGGAGAGCCGGAATGCTGACACTGATTTCGGGTGCGATCTTACCTGTGCATTACCCATTAGCGCATCGTCTTCGGTCCCAAGATTCACTTCAATCGGTTGCACCTCGTCCAAGTTGACATAGATCGGTTGATCCTCGCTCACGCTCTGGCGCAGCCTTCTCTTCTCGTTACCGTTTTCGCTTTGATTCTTTCGCTGATTTTGATTCTGATTATTCTCGGCTTCCTGGGCTTCTAGCTTCTGCTGTTTCTTTAGGTGGGCATTCAGATTAATGGCCGACTTGGACTTGGCCTTGGCATAACGCGCCGAGCAGCGCAGGCTTTTCAGTACTCCATAGGACCGGGCATTAGCCAGCTTTTTACCCCAGAGACAAAGATTTATATAGATACTTTATATATAGAATAGTTGTAGGTAGAAAATAGGTAGGAATATATATATATATATAGACACAGAGGGAAAGCGGGTAATATGGACGGGACTAGTGCGCATTGGGGTAATTGTTTAAATAATGTTGAGGGATTATCTAATCGAATGCTTCTTAAATATAAACAGAAACCTGAATCCCATGAAATGTTCTTTAATGAATCAATTCCTAAAAATATGCGATGAATGGTAGCACTCAAACAATAATAATAAAAACAAAAAGCTTGAAAGAAATGAGTTGTTAACAAAAAATATATATAAAGAAATTTAATTTAATTAATTAAACAGGCTCTGGAGTGCTTTAATTTAAAACTAGCAGGTTTTAAGCCTGTCCCAAAATATAAAGTATTTTATTTATTTATTTAGAAATATTTATTTATTTTTTATTGCATTTATTTACCTAACTCTACATCAAATACCTTTAATTTTCTTATAAAAAAAACCAAAAATGAAGTAGAATCATTAATAGAAACCTCAAATAGCAACGCATTAACTTTTTATTACGTCTACAATTAGTTTTTCACATTAAAAACAAATGGCCTTTAAGGCGAAATTTTCAAATGTTGATTCGCAGTGCCATTAATTTTGACCGCAACTGTATGCAATTACACACATGGATGGTATAAGCATAGAAATGGTGAAATGGGATGGTTTGTTTGGGTTTGGGCCTGTCCACTTTCTATTAACTACGTGACGGCATGCCCATATATGATCACGAAAAGTCCAAAAAAAAAAACTATGGCTTTGCCAACTTCCGGCAGGAGGGGAAATAAATAATATATAAAATACAGAAAAAAAAGTGCCTCCAAGACGGAAAAACAAGCTAGCGCGAATTCCAGGTGAGGATGATTCAAGGCGCGTTAATGCACCTCGTCTTTACTTTACTGTCTATATATAGACACATGACCGAAGCAGTCAAGTCAATGTCTGTAGATAAAACCATTGAACTAAGTAGCTGGTAATGACAGTAAAATAAATGTTGCACTTGAAATAAATGTTGCTATCTAGCAAAGAGTGATCTTTTAAATGGAATTAATGAATATTGATAAGATAATAATGTTTAATGTTTAAAAATATTATTTAAAAATTAAAAACAAATTTCTTATTTTTACTTTTTAAATTTAAATTTTAAATGCATTTGTATATATAAATTAATATTTTAAAAATGTTTATTTGCACACCGTATGCTTAATAATTAATATAACTACATTTTAGATATTTTTTTCAAGTAAATATTTTTTTTTTACGTTATAATTAAAAATATTTCTATTAATAATATATTTATATTATTTTCTTTCACTTTAAATGCTTTAATATATAATTTAATAATATAATATTATTATACTTAATTTTTAATAAATTTAAATTTTATATATATCCTCTTCCAAGTGAATAATTTTTTTTTTTATAATTAAATATATATTCCCCCCTTTTCGCGTGGTGCATTGCAAGTGCTTTGATCGTACAGGCAAATCACCGACAATTGCTACACCGGCATTGCGCATACGCCCCATTGGCTGTACACATGTGTAGTAGTTGTAGCAAACTGAGTATCGAGTACAAAGTGGGCCAGCAGCAGCCAGAAAAACTCGATTCTGTCCAGCGATTGCCGAAAGAAAGTCCATATGTTTGCGTAGAACAAGTTCAACCAGTCGAACAGTAACCGAGTCTAGCAAAAACAATGATTAAATACAGTAAACTTCCAATGGCCCTCAAAAAAAAAAAAATGGTAGCTTAGGCAATGGATAAATGGAAAACCAAAGCCTAGATTGGATTCCCCTCCTTCGAAATTAAAAAAAAAAGTACAAAACCTGGCTGAATGCGGAACCAAGCTGGCGGATATTCGAGGAGGTTGCCACACAAGTTAACCGGCGACAAGTCGGATGAGTCTCTTGCCCAAGAACTGGATTAAAACTGGCCAAGGTCTTTGTGGGTTGCTAAAAAAATTAAATAAAAACTCGGAAACCTGCTGCTATATAACTCACATAAAAAAAAAAGAAGGAGAGTTCTACATTTCTTGAGGCAATTAGAGCAAACTGGGGAGTGAGGCTATAAATAAGCAAAAACAATGACAAGGTTCCTCTTTTTTGGGTGGGTTGAGCTTGAAATGGGTGGGGTTTTCGACATTTTTATGGCAAGGTAATTGTAAGATTGTTTTTTTTTTTAATATAGATTAGCATATGCCAGGGGCTTGGAAAAATATTGTTTACAGTTTGTTAACTGAAAGAAAGCTGGGCAAAAATAGCTACAAATCAAATTAATTTGAATAGGAATTATTAGTGCAATTTTTATACATATAGATTCTAATATATTTTATATAATTTTGATATATTTTGATATATTGATATATATTCTATACATTTTTTTATATATATTTATACCCCTGCAGGGTGTAATAATCATTTCCGACCCCATAAATCATATATATTCTTGATCAGCATTAACAGGCGCTTCTTTCTAGACTTGTCCAAAAGAAAACTATATTTTTTGTAATTTTATCAAAATTTAGTAAGGGGTTACATCGTTAAAATTTTCGAAAATTTATAAAAAAAATTGAATTGATGAAAATATGCATATTTGTTAACGTAGAAAAAAATAGCATAGAAATGCTTTTTGAATTGAAATTAATACATTTTTGACTTAGTTATGATAGATTTTTGATTCGAAACCCCGATCCTATGGCAATCTACAAGGGTATGCAAATTTCGGCTTCCCGAAGTTATTATCCTTTCTTGTTTTATGAATTTTAATATATTTTATTTCATTATATATTTTTGTTTATTTTTTAAAAATTATTAAATATTTTAAAATAATTTTAAATTTTTTTTAAATAATTTTAAATATTTTTAAATAATTTTAAATATTTTTAAATATTTATAAACATTTTTAAATAATTTTAAATATTTTAAAATAATTTTAAATATGTTTAAATATTTATAAACATTTTTAAATATTTTTAAAAAATATTTTGATATAGTTTTATCTATTTTTATATAATTTTAGATATTTTTATAATTTTTATAAATATTTTTAAATATGTGTAAGCATTATTTTATACCTTAAAATTTATTTACTTCTCAAACTCCCCTCGTTTTTGCTGCTTTTGTAATTAGCTAAATTCGCATTTCGCTACACGCTCCACAGCCCATTCACAATGCCTTGCATTGCGTCAATGAAAATGCACGTCGAGAAGGAAGCGTCCGATTAGGCCGCCACCCACCAAGCCCACCTGTGCACTTGCACCTGTCAAATCAAAAACGTGGCTAAGGCAAAATCGATCGTCTCAAGTTCAACGAACTGTCGCCAAAGCAGTGGCACAAGGAGAACGACGACCAGCGGCCAATTAAAGTCAAATAATTGCTAATAATTAACTTCGCATATCAAGTATACGCATCAAGTATACGTAGCAAGTATACACATCAAGTATACGCAGCGTAAGCCCAAAGGAAGTGGCCATGTCCAAATTTTACAACTGGCTTTTATGGCACTGACAACGGAATGATGATGGTTCAATAGCCGCCAAAGGAGAGAGCATTTCTGGGCCATAAAGGTAAGGTCTTTCTTTGCTTTGTTTTTTATTGTTAACAAGAAATTCCATTAATTTCATAATTTTATATTATAGGTTTTCGGGTTGTTTAAAAATTAAAACAAAATTTAATTGGAGTGAAATGGACTACCTAAAGTGTAAGTAATTAATTAATTAAGAAATTAATTTATGAAAAAAAAAACATTATAATATTGAGAGACAAAAATTAAGGCCCACACTTGATGTAAATTTTTATATTTGTTTTTACAGGTGAAACATAATTGTGTGTAAAAGTGAAACAAAATTAAATTGGATTAAAGGCCTCTTCCAAAAGGTAAGTAATTAATTAATTAAGCATTTAATTGATATAAATACAAAATATAATATTAAGAGACCACAATTAAAGCCCACACTTGATATAAATTTCATTATTTGTCATTACAGGTTTTTGGGTTTTTAAAAAGTGAAACAAAATTGTGTTTAAAAGTAAAACAAAATTTAAATTGGATTAAGGCGTCTTTCAAAATGTAAGTAATTATTTAATTTATTTACTTGATGATTGAAAAATACCATATATATTTTTAAGAGACCACAATTAAGACCCACACTTGATGTAAAAACCTTCAGCTCATCCCCAACTACAAATACACATACATATTTATTTCTAGAGCTAACTAATTCAATTGAAATAAATTGAAGCGAGTTGCCATTGTTAGCATACAGCCTTGTTGCACTAACAACAATTATCTGGCCATTGTTAACACAACTCATTCAATGCCTGATATTGAGGGACCTAATATGTTTGCTCTAAAAAAAATTATAAAAAACTAGGTAGTATTTCAATGCAAGCCCAATTATCTATGTATTTAAAAAATTCATGGGGAGGATTTCAACCAGATATTTACTTGAATTTCACATTAAATTATAAAAACAGAATAGAATTCCTTAATTTATTTATTTATGAATTTATTTGTTTTTTTTTCATTTTTTTATGATTTCGAAATAAAAACTTCTTTGTTAATATTTAAAGAAAATTCTTAGAATTTGTGACTCTTGTGACTCTTGAATTCTTTCAAAATATTTCTTTGAATTCCTGACTAACTCTCTCTCTCTTTTCCTGTATTTTTGCCAAATTTTTGGTATACATTTTTACAATCTTTTGTTTTGGCCGTTGACTTATTTTGGTTGCCTCTCTTATCTCTTATCAATAATTACTTTTTTTTTGCAAAATTACCTGCCTTATCGAAATGCATTTCGCCACCTTCGCACCCCAACGGAACATGGAAAATTCGCTTCTATTTTTTTGCTTTTACTCTTGTTTTTCATATTTCAAAACCTCAAATTGTAGGTCAGTGTCAGAGTGTCGTTGCTCCACAAGACCATATAAAGTGACTAAAGGGGCCGCCGCCAATGGCCACGCCCCACGCCTGCGACTTTAGTGACTAAGTTCAACCCGATGACAAATATTTTCAGCTGTAATTTATTTTGCGTTCTTCCCAACCTCTACTTTGTTTTGTTTTATCTATGTATCTAACTATCTATATATATATATTCAGCCCGTCAACAACAACAATTAGTGGCATTCAGCGAGATATATATTTCAACGGAGAAGTCAGGATGAGTGTGCGAATGGGGGCCCGCTTTCAATGTGAAAATCCAGTGGGTTTTTCGCTACAAACTCCCACCTGAACTGAAAGCTAAAGGTTTTTGGTGCAAAAAAAAGGTGAAAAACAAGAGAAAAATGGCTGAAAAGGCTTGAAGAAAACTCTTTTAAAGCTGGCTAATATGAAGCCTAAAAAATTAATTATTTCTGTCTCATTTGCATGTTCACATTGCGATTTTCTCACCTTCTTTTGGAAATGAGAAATTTTATATAAAAAAAAAATAATACGAAAAATTAAAAAATAAGAAGAGATGTCAGGAAAATCAAAATATAGGTTTTAAATATTTAAAATTTACATATTTAAAGAAGAATTACTGAAAATAAGTCTATATATAAAATATTATATCGATTAATTTATATTTTATTTTATTTATCGGCCGTTTATAAAAGGAATATTAATTCTTCTGCTTTAAATATGTACGTTTTAAGTATTTTGAAATTAATTTAAATTATTTACTTAATTTAATAAATTAAATAACATCTTCCAGAGTTTTTTTTTCGATTAAATATAAAGTAAATATTGATTTATTTATATTCTCTTTTACGATATATAGCATTATTTTCCGTTTCTAAAGATTCTATCAATTATTCTGCTTTAAATAAATACGTTTTAAATATTTATAAATTAATTAAAATGACTTTTCTTATTAAATAAATTAAATACAATTTTCCAGCGTTTCTTTTCGATTATATCTATATATTTTCGACATTTCTAATTTCGGTATATCCAACTTTACTTAATTATTTATTTTTTCTATCGATTTACATACATCTTTAAGACTCTTCAAAGCATTTAAAACAAAAGCCAAAAGTTAGTAGCCATTCATCGTGACATAAATGTTTAGGTAAACTGCAGTTTTTATAACAAACTGCCAGCATTTGTACATTAAAACCTGTTTAACGAGCCCTCGTTCTATACAGAAATATGATATACTAAAAGCCTCAAGTATTTTGTTTAGTATCTCTCTTTAAAAACAAATCAAATAGCTTTATCTTTTTATATATTTAAAGCTATAAATTATCTAACATTTAATTATATTTATTTAAATCACCTAATTTTATGTCTTGATGGGTCAAGTTTGCAATTCAATTCAAAATTCAAAGTGTGTAGATTGTGGAGAAAGGGAAAAGACAACACCATTCAGGCATTTGAATATACTTTCGAAATGGCCGAGAAATCGAGAAGTCGAGAAATCAAGAAAATCGAGAAATGAGAAACGAGAACACTTCTGCTTCTTCTTTGGGGGGGCGGCCTTTGTAAGTATCTGAGAGATACACTTGTCGCGGTCTTGGCTGCCTTTCTTGTTCAACCGATTTAAACGAGGCCAGATCTCCTAGGCCAGAGCCCAAGTCTGGGCACGTTTTTGTTACCAATTTTATGTGTGCTTCTGTGTTTTTCTGTTTCTGTTTTTGTTTTTGTTTCGTTTTTTTCGTTTTGTTGTCTCGAGTTTTCTTCTTTGGCTTCTCGAATCGGTCACAGTCTGAGCTGAAAATCAATTACCGTTAATGCTGGCCCACATACGAGCAGTTAATATGGGTTATAGCATTGAACGTGACTTGGCTGGAACCAAAGACTTTTGGCCCGATCTTCACAACAGAAAAAAAAAATAATAAGAAAAAAAGGAAAAGCTACGAAAAACAAATATATTCATAAACAGTGAATACTCGATGTAGGGAACTTAGTGTTTGGCAATCTGCATTTTTTTTTTTTTGCTTCTTAAAAACATATTTAAAATAATTAAAGTACAAGTCATTATTTTATAATTCAAATTTAATTTATATTGAATTTTTAATTTTTTTAAATTATATTTAATTTTAATTTAAAAAACCTTGTATTTTTGAGGAATTTGTTACGACTTAATAATTTAACATATTCCTAAAACCATATTTAATATAATTAAAATACTATATTAATTAAATTATTTAAATGAAATTTTATTTTTAAATTTTTAAATTTTTTTAACTTAAAAACCTAATATTTTTAAGAATATTTTAAGGACTATATACTTTTAAGTTTAAAACTTATCACCCTTATCGAGTGTTCACTGTAAATAAAATAAGATTTGTACGTCTTTGGGGCCCCCTTCAAGGTCAGTGGCCAACCTTTGCAGGGGGCTTTAGTTAGTTTTAGTGTGCACACTCGTTAAAACGGAAAAGGGCAGCCCTAAAAATCTGAACAAATTTAATTAAAAATGCAGAGTGCGGCAGACAAAGGCGAAAAGAGAGTTGAAAAGAGAAATAATGATTATTTTTAACACAGTTGCCATCTTTTTTTCATTAAATCTGTCAACTGGCAGCCAAAGAAAAAAAAGAAGAGAAAAACAAATAAAAAAAAGAGCAGCAAAAAGTGGCAATAATAACAAGTCGGGGATAATAGCTAATGCCCCAACGATCCATTTTAGCGACTTTCACTGTTTAATTGTCGCAAAATTTCATATTTTGTTGCTTATTTTTCATATTATTTTTTTTTTTTTTTTGCCAGCAATTTCTGTGTTTGGTCAGCAGTAACAAGCGGCAATAACAAATGTATCTCTGTATCTCATGATGTGCAAGATACGAGTGAGTACTTGGAAATTTGTATCTCTCGCTTATATAAGCCCCTCGAAGGGAGCTACCGAGATGCCCGAGTAAACAAATTAAAAGAAATCTTTGTTGTTAAGAAACTTACTTACATTTTTTTTATATTCATATATTTTTTTTTTACTTTACTTATTTTTTTATACTATATTTTTTTTACTTTCTTTTTATTCTAGTTAATTAGCTGGCTTACTAAGTATTTGTGTAATATTTAAAATATTGGTTGGGCAATATTTTCGGGTGATTATGAGTATTGGAATAAGTGACTAAGCCTGGAAATAATTTTAGTTTGTCGTTTTTTGTATTATATTGCATTTAAACATAGATTTTTATCTAACTGGGAAGACAGAAGAAAATCAATACATTTGTACTAAACTTTCAAAAATCTCCCTGAAAGAAAACCAAGTAAAATGGCATTCTGTAGACCCTAAAAAGTCTTTCTAAATAGTCAGGTAAAAGTATCTGTATCTGTAAGTGCAACTGTATATATGTATATCTATGGCTGTATCTGCATCTGCAATCATTGCAGTTGCCAATCATTCGATTAGGTATTAGCCAGAAAAATGTACTAACTGCACACTTATTCATAATTTGGCTAACCAGTTTCTCGAATTGCCTTTCGGGGCCCCCAATCCCCAATCCCCGGGAAATCTTCAATTGAAATCTAATCTGTTTTTCCAAAGAGGGCGGAGGAGAAGGTTGGCTGAAGGAGAAGGTTTTCCGCAACAAAGAGCCAATTGTTTGGCAGCAAATTGGGCGGGCATTAAATTGCATATGATCACGGGACGGCTTTTCCTCCTTTGAAAATTTTGTATTTCTCCTTCCGTGAACCTCATTCGAATGAGCTGAGTTGCGTTGAGTCTTTCCCCAAACTCTTTTTATTTTTCTTCATTTTTTATACAGTTTTTTTTTTTTTTTTTTTTGTTTGCTGTTTCTTTTGCGAAACGAGTCTTCGGGGGTAATTAAAAGTTCATTGTCGTTGAAGGCCTCCAACACGTTGTGGAAATTATTTTGCAATGTCTGCCCAAAAAAAGATACGAAAAAAAAGGCAGTGGCAGCTTCCACACACAACTTCCCCAACGTTTAGTTTGGCTTCTTTTTTTTTTTTGGGATGTCTGGCAGAGGCGAGAGATTTTCCCACATGAAAAACTTGAAGAAAAAAAAAACTGAGAAGCGATGACAAAATGTGCAGGAGGCTTCGCAGCAGCGTCATCGCCATCGTCATTGAGTGAAAGTTGCTGATGACCATTATAGTACATACTAAAAATATATATACACTATACAATT